CGTTTAACTATGGGGTGAGTACATTAAAAACGAATCCAGCTGAAACCGTTGTAAACAAGCCATAATCTTTTTTTTAAAAACTCATTCGTGGCACCTGCACCCGTTGCATCCTGGAATGGTACACCGCGGAGGTGTACATAGATGTATCCTCTAAATCTGGGGAAAGAGGGCTGCAATTTGCGGGCCCGCATTCGGAGGAGTCTTGTCTTTTTTTAAAATTGGGACAGCCCTCGTTTGGCGGTAAAGGAACGTATGCGGTCTCCGAATGCATCCTCAGGAGGATCGGCGTCTGAATTGGGACACCAGCCCTTGCGTGATTACCCGAGAGAAGAAAGAACAGACTGCGTGATATAAACAAACACAAATAGCGTGCGTTCCATTTCACTACAACGAGAAGCTCATTGGGGCTTTCCCGAACCTGTGTCGAGAGCTGAAGTTAAAGAAACTCAGATTTGCCTTCTTATAGTTTGTTTGGTCCGCTCACTTCCGTTTCGCTTCTCATGCACTGATTCGCTAGTTGAACAGCCAATCAGAGTGATTTAATTTTGCCGACTGCCTTTGGCTGACTGCCCACCGATTCAACATGTTGAATCGGCATGTTTTTCATCTAAAAGGCGTCGGCACGGCTGAAAGGACCCTAACGTTTCAGGACATCGTCGGCCCTNACTGAATCTGCAATAGGTAAGCAGCTTGGTGTGAAGAAGTCAACTGTGGGGAGGGAGATTATCAGTGGTCTTGTATGTCTTCCATTTTCTAATAATTGCTCCCACAGTTGACTTCTTCACACCAAGCTGCTTACCTATTGCAGATTCAGTCTTCCCAGCCTGGTGCAGGTCTACAATGTTGTTTCTGGTGTCCTTTGACAGCTCTTCGGTCTTGGCCATAGTGGAGTTTGGAGTGTGACTGTTTGAGGTTGTGGACAGGTGTCTTTTATACTGATAACGAGTTCAAACAGGTGCCATTAATACAGTTAACAAGTGGAGGACAGAGGAGGCTCTTAAAGAAGAAGTTACAGGTATGTGAAAGCCAGAAATCTTGTTTGTTTGTAGGTGACCAAATACTTATTTTACACAATAATTTGCAAATACATTCTTTAAAAATCAGACATGTGATTTTCTGGATTTTTTTCTTCTCATTTTGTCTCTCATAGTTGAGGTATACCTAGGATGAAAATTACAGGCCTCTCTCATCTTTTTAAGTGGGAGAACTTGCACAATTGGTGGCTGACTAAATACTTTTTTGCCCCACTGTAAGTCAGTTGTATAAAGTAAACTGCGTTCAATACAAAGTATTGTTGGTGTGCTGTTTTTGCCAAATTGTTTCTCTCTAGCAAAACTGAATTTAAAATGGTTTCAGTGTGGGCCAGCCTTAATGGCTACCAACCAATTGTCCTGACGTGAAAACACAGGAAAGGATGATGACAGGCAGCATGTGTCCCTGTAATTGGAAGTGTACTCTTTGCACCCTATGTTTAACCACAGCCTGACACACAGTAGTATTGTGCTGCACTGCCTGTTGTCTTGACTGTGTAGTCGTTGCATAGCAACAATAATAAAAATCCATTATTTTGCCTTTTAAAACGTGCCTTTAGTCGAGGGCTAACATGAGTGCAAGCCCAACTCCAGCTTCTCTGAAACGTACAAGTCTCCACTGCTAAGTGCTGGGGTTTGTCAGCTTTGCAGGAGCGTGTAGGAAATGTGAAGGCTTTACTGGAGCAGCAGCTTTTCACTCAGTGATGAGCTCAATGATTAATGCCTGAATCTTAATTTACCAAATGAGACTGGATGAGTATATTTTTTTCATGAGGGTCAAATATGAATAATCGAGTGTGCCGTGCATATATTTGCATACATGACACATGAAAGGAGGTTGTACTTGTCAAGTGAGTGACACACAACCCCCCTTTAAGCCTCATATTCACAGAGAGAGAGCTCTGTTTTTGTAATGTGGAGTGTACTGTATTTATGTGGATTTTTGTGAGTGTGTGTGTGTCTCTGCGTACATGTTTTAGCGTGTGTGTCCTCCCAGAGAGGCATCAGTTGTGTTTAAACACCCTTTTAGCACTCTGATGAATCTCCAGACTAATGCAGGCAAGAAGGATTAAGTAAACATGCAATCATTACCGCGGTGGCACCTCACTTGTAAAGCTGAACACATTTTGCTTTTTCACTGCTCTCACAATTTACAGCATGCCCAGGCATTCCTGTAGGACCTGTTGCACGTAACTCTTTCACTTTTAACACACAAATAGATATCTATACCTTTTTTTACCAAAATGATTGTGCTGATTTCAGCTTTTCCAGTTAAACCACGTTTCCACTAAGCTAACTAACATTTTTCAAGGAACTAAAAGGTTTCTTCAGCTAATACAAGTAGGCAAAATAAAACTCCTGATATATGAAAAAAGGAGGCTGTTTTACACGCCACCCTCCAGACTAAAATGTTCCAAGACTTTCGCACCTAAAAGATATTAAAACTTGTGGAAAGTATTGCCCCTATCCAGGGACTTTAACCCTTTGGAGTCCTGGGCTAATTTGGCCATTTTCGCATACTTTTGATTTGTCTTACTAAACCCCATTAAGAAATGTTTGGCATGTCAATGTTTGGTATCTTTTTTTTAAGGACAACCTCACCTATATAACCTGATAGTTATTTCTTTCATTTTGAGATACTATATGAACATTTTGGACCAANTTAAAGTTTAGTCTAGTGCAAGTAAATACCTGCAAAGGCCAGGTTTTAGCAGTTATGCGGTAGAGTTTTTCTTTCTGTTTAATTTGATAGTTCCCATTTATAGGGATCACTGGCGTCTACAGGATTTTGCGCTATGTGTTTTGTACTGTACGGTATTGGACTGTTTTACCCGCGCAAATCATTCTTGTTTAGTTTTCAATACGCTTTGCGCGGTTTAATCGGGTCGCTGAGGTTTCCTTTCAGGGACCTATCCCGTTTGAAAAGGTGTTCGTAGTATATGACTTGTAAATCCGGCGCGGCTTGTTAAGCCGCGTTTTAATACATCGCGAGACCTCTGTGGCACCGGGCATTTGTCGTGGTACATAGTGGTGTGTCTGTGAGGTGTATTCTTGGTGGGTATGTTCATAATCGGTTCTTTTGTGTAAAGAATCAGGATCGATTTGGTACAGATTCATGTTCGTATTAGCCTTTGCACTAACTGGACTTTCGCGGTTTGGTCGTGCTTAGTAACGCATTTTTTTCTTCCATATAGGTGTGTGAATAGATTGTTTTGGTTGGAAATGTGTTCCGCTTTCTCGAAAATGCTACGTTGTCCAGGATGTCTGTATCGGAAACTCTTGTACGGGAGCGTTTACCGGATCGTCTGGTCACTTTTTCGATTTTCCGAAAAGTCGGGAGGTTATGTTCTCTTTGTTGCACGTGGGCGTATGAGTTAGTTTATTTCTACGAATTACTTAAACGTACGATATATGAATTTAGGGGTGGGGGACGGTAGGGGGGGTTCGCTCAACATAGCCTCTTTAGTCAGGGGGTCACTGTATTTCCTTTCTCCTTCGAATTTGGTTTGGACTACGGAGAGACTTCGTCTCTGTCTGTGGGTGCATTTTTGTACGAATGCGTTTCTCTGTGTGTGTTTGTGAGTGTTTGGTGTATTTGTATGTACGGTCATGTGTTGGTGGTAATTGTGTTTTTCGTTCTCCGAGAAAGAGCATACGCACTTTCTATACTCCGTGGATGGTTTGTTCGGCGGCAGAGTGTAGTGTCTGTTCGTGTGTTTGGGGCGTAGTTACAGTGCGTACGTATTTATACGGTGCCGGATTTTCCATGAATGTGCTAGTCATACAGTACTTAAACATGGGGTACTTTTGTCGTTCCCGTGATATCGAAAGTTGGTCAGCAGTAACAACCGCGAGTTTTGCGTGATTGTCGGTTCAATGTAACTTCCGGAAGGGGGGGGTCTGGGGGGGTCCGAAAACCAGTCAGTATCTGGTGTGAGGGTTAGGGTTAGGGTAATGTTGTGAATCGAGTGGCCTGTGTTCGTCATCCATAACATACGCCTGCCCATACCATAACCCCACCACCACCATGGGCTAGGGCTGGGCGATATATCGAGTTTACACGATACATCGTGGATTGCACTACATGCGATGTCGTAAATTACCACATCGTGAACATCGAGTATTATGTTGTCAAATCAATTTCCCGCCGCGGCCAAAATGAGCTTTCCTTTCTCCCTCATAGACACAGTCACACACGCAGGCACACACGCAGGCCCCGTCTAACTTGCATACAAACATTACACACATGCACAGTGACAGAGAGCAGGGCTCGACATTATAAATGGCCCGCTGGCTTGGAAGCACTATTTAGACACCCCGGGCCAGCATAACGTACTTTCCACTTGCCCGCTCGGGCCACTAAAAATATTGCTTAAAAAAATAAAATGTCCTGTGGTATAGGTATTTTGACAAGCAATGTTGTTAAATTGTTTCGTTTATTAACGCTACAACATAGTGTTTCGTGAGGCGGTTGTCGTTGTTGGGTGAAAGGCAAACGGGAGCCAGCGCGAGCAGGCTCCCGTTTGCCCGTGAGCGCCGGGCAAAAAACTATCTTCAAATAAAAGAAAGTCACCGGACGAGTTAAAGGAGAGTGACAGGTAGCATGAGAAGAAGAGGGAGAGAAAGTTTCAGCCAGCTTGATCGATGGAGTTGTTTTCTAGTGGTGCAGTGACGTGTCCTAAAACCCTTTTATAATCTATCGATTAGATTTATGATTCGAAAATTATAAAAGTAGGGTAGACATGTGGATATTATCCGGCTGAACAAAACGTGCATTTATCAAACAGGTTTGTTTTCCACAGACCTTATTTCCAGCTATTTTCCAAAACCCTATGGAGAAATCCCATTGCTTTTTTGTCGAGGGAACCAGCAGCTTACTTCCTGGTTTTAGGACGCGTCACTCCACCTCTCAATATGATGCCAATATAAACAAGGTCTTCTGTCGGCTGTGTACATCAATGTCGACCTATGCTGACAAGTAAGTGAAGAGTAGAACATATAAAAGGTATTGGCTATAGGGAAATGTCCCAGCAGGTTGGGAGAATGAAGGTTCTAATCTAATCTAATACATAGCCATTACATGTCTAACTCCTGATAATGACAGGAAGACAGAAAGCGCATTATACTAATAATAATAATACTACTCATAATAATAGCAGACATTTTTTAACAATGACCACAATATCATCATTTTAATAAACCAAATATGAACAATTGAGGAAAATGAGGAAGAACTGATGATTCAAATGTTGTAGTACAAGTAGTAATGTAGTTAGTGCGTAAATTACTATTGCAACAAATGTGTTAACTTTCTTCATTATTAGTCGATTTTTTTTTTTAATGCAGACATATGTTGCAGGGACTACTAGAATCATCATACTGGCGTGACTGTAAACATCAAGGGGTTAAATAAAAAAAATGTATTTGTTTTAGAGGACATTTCAGAATATCGCGATATATATAGTATATCGCGATATAGTCAGTAAATATCGCGATATCATTTAGAGACCATATCGCCCAGCCCTACCATGGGCCACTCGATTCACAACATTACCCTAACCCTAACCCTCACACCAGATACTGACTGGTTTTCGGACCCCCCCAGACCCCCCCAATAAAGCAAAACTGCACGTTTCAGAGTGGCCTTTTATTGTGGCCAGCCTAAGGCACACCTGTGCAATAATCATGCTGTCTAATCAGCATCTTGATATGCCACACCTGTGAGGTGGGATGGATTATCTCGGCAAAGGAGAAGTGCTCACTATCACAGATTTTTTCAGATTTGTGAACAATATTTGAGAGAAATGGTTATTTTGTGTATGTAGAAAATGTTTTAGATCTTTGAGGTTATCTCATGAAAAATGGGAGCAAAAACAAAAGTGTTGCGTTTATTTATTTTTTCAGTGTATTATCACTAGTTCTGTATATTTGGTACAAGTTGTCAGTTTCTCTCAACCCTTCACTCTGACTTTTTCACTCGCCATTTCTGGAAATAACTAACACAAAAAAACAAACACAAAACTATGACAATGTATCATTTCCCTTTTGCAGAGAAAGACTGTTGAAAATGTTTTATATTGTGCTAATGTATCATATTTGGTGAGAAACCTATGAAATGTTATTATTTTATTATAAAAAAGTCCACTAAACCATCGGAGAAGAACATTATTTACCAATAGGATTCATTATGTTTTAAATATTTTCCCTTCTTTAATTTCTAATAAGATGTAAACTCAGAGCAGAATATCATTGTTTGCTTTGGATCACTATATTTTCATGCTTCATTAAATGTACAAGTTGAATTTGACGACCTCTCTTCAACAACTCAAAAAGAGTTACAGTGCCCGCCATCAGATTAAAACCAACCGCAGACAGATTCTTGTTTTGGAACAAGCTTTGTCTGTTTGCCGTTTGGTCCTCTCTTCTTTTTGAAAAATATGTCTGCCATTTTTAGCATCTTTTTGGATGCATGCTTACGATCTGACGGTAGGTTTTATTGAAATTGATGCAGATACATCCAGAAAACAACAAAATGATAACTGAAAAAAGTGCCAAAGAACAAGGGGTCTGCAGATACATAAACTACCACACACCTTGAGTAATTTAAAGGTAATTAAGAGGAATATGTTTCGTCTTGTTTTTCTTTTAAAGGAAAATCCTATTTGCTCTGCTGAATTGTGCACACATCACAATTACTATGCTTTGAATATAAAGCCACTTTCCTAATACAGATGGATTCAATTAGAAGTCCAATCCAACATTTTGTTTTAAATGTCAATACTATAATGACACATTCCCCAATGAAGACATACAAACACATCCTAATGCTTACTTACTGGATACCTGTGAGCTTGTTTTCTTGCCTCCTTGCCCCGCTCCCATGCCATTTCTTCACCTTTAACCTTCCTTCCATCCATCTTTGTCTCTATCTCCTCCACGCTCTCTGACCCTCTCCACCTTCGCTCTGTCTCTTCCTCTTGTCTACAGTCAGGATGTTATCTGTCCTTCCCTCTCAAAGAGTCATGGGGCTGTGCCCCTCTGCTTTGTGTCTTGATGTCTTACTCCAGCTCACGAGGGGCTGGTCTCATAAAAGTGGAAAGGGACAACTCTCTCAGCTGCAAACTTGAGCTCGCCACATTAGATATTCCCTGCGAGATCTTCTACGTGCTCTGCCTCAAATGTGTCTCACTTCCTGTCTCACACGCACACACATATTTTCTTTTGCCCCAGTGTCGGCACGGTCATCTTTTGGCATGTCTTTACTTTTCTTCCTTTTTGTTTTCAGTTTTCATCCGTTTTCTTTCCTATTTCTGATGTTTTGTTCCTCTTTTTCTGGCTTTTCCCGCTCTCATTTATTTTGTATTTACCTTTCTCCTGGCATTAAAACTCAAGCTCTTGTTTCTGTCTTAACATTTGGGCTTGATGTATTTTCTTTCTCTCGCTCTCCTCCTCTCTGTACTCACACTGTGCTATATCCCTTTAGAGCTGGATACAGAAACCTCCCTGTTGGCTCTGTCAGCCGCCCATAGCTCAGTTAGTGGGCTGATCGATCAGTGGAGCTGCTGAATTCCCCTGAAAGTCAATTACTAACTTGCACAGTGGAGCTATTTTAGGAAAGAGGGGAGACTGTAGGAATCATTAACTAGATAATGTCATGACAACCTTCGCAGCCAGTCAGGGCAGAGCGGCTGCTGCCTGTGGATACGCAATTTGTCTGGGCCATCAGAGAATGGCCCAAAACAAGGAAGGATGTTTCAACAGATTTTTAAAAAGTTGCTCCTACTTAAAGTGAAAGATATCTTTGTAATTGTATTCAGTATTAGGCAACATTCTTCTGTGGGTTGTTTGTTGTAAGATAAGTGTCAACGCTGGTGCATTTGACTCTCTTTTTATTCTCAAGGTTATGTTTACAGTTTGTCTCAAATTATTTGACACATATTGAATTACTTGACAAAAGCCAGGCATGTAAAAATAAAGTTAACACACTGGCCCATTGTAAAATAACAAAAAATGCTATTTAGAAAACTCCCTGTCTGTTAGTTTTAAATATTCTAAAACGTTGAAAAAGTAAATTCCTTAAAAGTTATAAGCATGGATTACAAAATCATTGTTTTATATGCCTTCCATCTAATTATACAACCTGGCTGCCATATGCTTTTTTAGATGCTTTTTCCTGTGCTTTCCTTTTACCTTGACCAGCTGGTAATAAAATCACTTTGGTGAAACTCTTCAGTAACTATAAGAGCCAGTTAGCTATCTTTAACAAAGTAAGGATCCAACAACCTTCTGTTTGTGTTTCTCCTCTGTTGCACTTGTTGAGCTGCAGAACCCCAACATCATCTTTTTTAATTATAGGTGCTCGCTATGAGTATATAACGTACAAATATACATATACATATGTATAAAACAGATGAGGAACAATGTTTTGTGTTTAAATCAAATGTGGAAAAGTCAAATCCATCTGGGAAAATAACAAAACAAAGTTACTATGTGTGGCCATCATGATCGTCTGCTTACAAGGGAATCTGTTATCTTTAACACTTATTAGGATATCAACAGTAGAGGCCTAGCTGCAATCAACAGATGGCTGCTTTTGAATGGATTGGAAAGAAAATCTTTACATTCACAATATCCTTAATGGTATGGACCGAGAAAAGTGACATGAACAGCAATCAACACATTTTGGAAAACCCACATTGCACACCTATTTTTCATCACATTTACGACAGAAAGCTCTTATCTCTTTTATGGTCCTGTTCCTGCAATCTGAGTGTGTCGAGTTTGGATGGCATCAGTATTAATTTCATGGTGTCAGAATTCATTTTAATACTAGTCTATCCTTCACAAAGTAGAAGGTAGATGTGCGTGTGTGTTTTTTACCATAGCATTTCTGCCAGACATTAAAAGTGGGGACTAATTCATTAGTAGAACATTTTAAAGTTTAGACTGACCTCTTATGAAGAAGTGGCCATTGTTGGAAAGTGAATAAACACAGCTGCCCAAAATATTCATTCCGAAACCCGATAAAAAACAGTATTCACCCCTGTCAATATTTCAATATACAACTTGAGTCACCTTTCAAAAACACAAAGATAGACAAAAGTCATAACAGTCATTAACATTTATATAATTAGTTATTTGACTTTTGAATTAAAAGCTCTTGTTGTTTATCATACACGTCACTTAATCTTTCAAGATTAATCTTCAAAACACTCACAATAGCCAATGTTTTATCTAACAGAGCCGGTTAACTGCAGTTGTTCCCTTTCTGTTAGACTGTTAGACAGACTGAACTTTGAAGACACATTCCTTGCTAGCAAACTTTCAATGCTGTACACCTTTTTTTATAACTAAAATCAATTGATGTTCCATTTGAACAGTCAAGTGCTGCAAAAAGGACAAAGGAATCCTCACATTTCTTTCTTCCATGTTTTCAATTTAATATGAGCTGTGTCTAGTTGAAATGCACAGTACCTTCCTGGAAACCCCCCTCCAAGCCATGTTGGATCAATGTGCTTCATCCCTCGTCTGTCCACATGGCACTCAAAGCCTGTTCTGCCACCCAAATTACTGCTGTGCTGAATTATAACTTTGTTGGACCTGGCAGTGTACTGTACCCAAGGCATTCTGAAATATCACTGACAGACGGAGCTGTCGTCACAGATATATCTATCACCTGGAGAGCTATATGAAACAGACAGCTAATAGCCAGCAGTCTTTTTACAAAAGCGTTTGTCAAAGTCTGGATCCTGGACATAAAGTTCTCGGCAAACATTTCAAAGTCTACAAGCCATCTACTTGATGTCTGTTTGGATGATGAACTTCTTTTCCATGTGGTGGTTGAAATGAAACTGTGCTGTGATAATGGCATTATCACTGCTGTCTAATCATCCACTCCAGATCTAAAAGGCCGAAGTTACATTTAGATGTTTTTTTAATGAAATAATGTGTGACGTAGGTTGGAGAGAATGCAAAAGTCAGGAAACCAAAGCGTTTTGTTGCAGAAACATGCTGCTGCTGGTGGATTAATGTTAACCTCATAATAATATAGTCAATGCAACTCTGCGACTTCATTTGTAATCTTACAGCAGCTCCATGTTGGACAGATGCCATGCTTGGCACTGCTTTGCGACTTATGGAAACTGAAAGAAATAAACAACACCTGCTACAGTATATAAGCAAAATCAGACTGTAACAAAATGATGAGTTAACATAGTGGAAAAAACGAGATTGGTTCGAGTGAATATCATACGTATTAACACACATATCAGCAAATAGAGTTAAACACACAGATAATGATGTATGCTTCATTAATCTCTAGTTCTTCATAACATCTTAAACACCAACAGTGTAATGGTGCCATCATAATGGTAATACAGATGTTATATTTTAATTACAAGCTTATTAAGTCTGAACTGTTAACTGTTAAACCATTATTGTTGGTACATAAACTTGATTGTTGTTCTATTACGCTCCAGTACATAATGGAACATTGACTTGGCAAATTGACATGGTTCATATATGTAATTATGTAGGTCCAGTTATTCTTTGTTTTTCTGTTTGTCATATAATTGTTATTCAAATCAAATCAATCAAAGTTAATGATTACTCTTTGTTTGGTCTTTGTTAATAATGTCTAGCCTTAACATAACATTTCATTAAACAAATTGCTAAGATGACTTTGATAATCATAGCAATTTTACTATATGGGTGTTCATATTCAATCATCACGGCAGTTCAGATGTCCTTGCTCTTCTCTCTATTTTCATCTTGCCCCTATTACCTCCTTAATGGTGTATTTTTTTCAGTTCTGAAAAGTCATGCACAAGGACAGTAATGGTATCAGTTCAGTAAACTAAATGAGTGAGATTTGTGCAGTGTAAAGCTTAGATGGCTGCATTTCGATTTCTATCAGACGTCTTCGTCTCTTTATTTATTGAGTCAAGTATATCTTGTCCCCTGCCAATATTGACCCAAGGTCACACACTGACATCATGTAAGGGCCTGAACTCCACATTCACAAACAATCTCCCTGTTATCCGTTTATTTACAGTACGCTACTCCTCCAATTGGATTCCCAGTCTCTTTTTTAAACACAATTTAAACAAAAAACCCTAATTTCTTTAAGCATATTTTGTCTTTTCTTTTTATTTGAATAGTGCGCTGAGAAAAGCAAAGCAAAGGAAGAAAAAAACAAGATTTCGAATATGTTGTTCTACAAGGTCATGAGATATATTTAATACTGAGGAACACAGGACACATACTGTATAGGTTGCATAGACAACTTTGCATTACATACGCTGATTCAAGTCTATTTTAACATTTGAATAAGTTAAACCTGACAATATAAAAGAAAGAAGCGAAGTAGATAACAAAGTTTGCGGACTGTAACTGTGACAGTAGATTTTGTGCCTGACCACACAGCTTGGCGACAGTCACTATTTATGGCGCCAAGGGGGAAGCAGTGAAGAATAATTCCTAATTTGCCGTAAAGGTGAATTGAATTGGATGGCCATTTCAATGAACATAAATTTCCCTTAATGAGAAGAATGATATTTGGCTAGCAGTGTGTCCTCTGACACGTGGTCTTTTTTCATTCTGCATATCCTTCACTCCTTGACAGCTGTTTATCCTCCATGGCCCACTAGCATGAGATGGATGCCTGCAGCTTGGCTACAGTTCCACTACATCAGCACACTATATCTGATTTGTGATTTTCCCGGCTTCTTTTTTTTCCCGCTTCTGCCTCAGATTTCTCATTTTTTATTTTAACTATCATCTGTTATTGGCCTCTCTGTCACTCATTTATAATACTAATCACTTCCCTTCATACTCTTCTAACAGAGGTTGTCCAACTGAACCTGGCGGAGGACCAGTGGATCAGTGTCTCTACGGTAACAGTGGGCCTTAGTGCGGTCCTTACGTGTGCCATCCAAGGGACGCTGCGTCCACCAATCATCTGGAAGAGGAACGGCATCATCCTGAACTTCTTGGACCTGGAGGATATCAACGTGAGTGTAGGTTTTCAGTTTCTTCATCAAGGTTATTGCTCTAGTTGCATGAGTTGATTGCATTCATCGCACAGCACAAGCATCTTATCTGACTGTCTACAAATGTTGGTCTGCATGGAAGTCCACTCAAGGGTCTGCAGTGGACTTGCGAAGATGACAAACTGTGTCTAATTCAGACCCTTGCTGACACAGAAACCATAAATTCAATAGAGGACATCAGAAAGAATTCCAACAAAAAGATTACTCCCCAGCTTTCTCCATGAACAGTAGAATTATAGCTCCCTCGGTACTTAATGAACTATGTGGCCCTGCTCCTGTTTGGACACATTTATTCTTCACAGGTGACAGCACAGCACTGGCCTTGCTTTACCCACCGCCGGATCACAACTCACTAATTGCATGTTAATGAGCGGCCTTGTTGGTCTGCTGTGATGATGAGCCGATAAACAATGTCAAGTGTTAAGGTGGAGACCGGAGGAGAGGCGATGGCAGAAGAAGTCCCTCAGGCTCTTGACCCTGAATAATGAATTTCCGCAGAGCAAATGGATCTGAGGGGGAGGAGGGAGAGAGAACTGTGTGTGTTTGGCTTTCTTTTAAGCCCAATCAAACATAAAGCATGAGATAACTAATAAGATACTACTATAGCATAGAAATGATTTAAAGTTAAACAGTCAGATAGTATATTACATTTCCATTTCAAAAGGTACCTAGTCGCATTACCATGATAACTCTATCTGTTTGAATAGTAACATTTTGATAAAATAATGGGGAGTAGAGGGACACAGAAAAAGTCTGACTGACATTAATTGCAGTAATTATGTTCCTCTTTTTGAGATCCCTCTGCCCAACATTTGATACAGGTCTACTTTCAACAATGCAAGGTGACAGGATGAGAGGAGGGAAAGAACATTTACTTCCTGTCAAAGTACTTTCAGCCCACCATTATCCGCTATTGAACTTGTTTGAATGGCAACAGACTTCTTTTTGGAAGTTTCATCTGACACTGATGGAAAACTTTCTGCGCTGTGGCATAAAACCCTTTAACCTGAGAGCTGAGCCTCCATTAAAATCAGTTTCATTTGTCTGCTCTCTCATAGTATCTTTCTGTCCTTTGTTCTCCATCTTGCTGTCTGCTTGTCTCACTCTGGTTTTCTTACCCTCAATCAAAAAACTAGGTCTCTTACATATTGAATGAACTCTCCAAAATGTAACTTCAAGGTGTACATTGGAAGGTTCTGACCTGTTTCACCACAGTTGATTGCAGGACAGCAAAATAAAACACAACACCAACAACACACACAAAACAGCAACATAATATGCCACAGTGCCGTCCATCAGCCGAAAACTCTTGAGTGAGATTGGAATCTTCTTCTCCAGAAATTAAATGAATAATGTATATTTCTTTATTAAAAACCATTGCTACAGAGCTTAATCTGCAGGTGCACTGTTTTGACTTGGTAAACATGAAATGAATGTGGCTCTTTATATGCGAACTGATTTAGTTTATTGCAGCTCGATTGTTCTGGAAATTATGAAAAGCAATGATGATTACTAGTGAAGAAAAGGTCAAAGCTGACATCGGTGTAGTGCTGCATCTGAAATAAAAAACTTCAATGAGTGATTTGAATTGTAATAATTGTGTAGCCACTGGCCATCTTCCTGTATAATTATTCCAGGGCTCTTTCATTATGAAAGCATATCATCTAACTTGACAAAAAATAAAAGCCTGTCATTTTTTCTTTACAGTTTTTCAGTAAAGTGAACAACTTTTTTCCATTTTCTTATGAGCAGCTGTGCAGACCAAAATCTACCATTGAAGTTCATGTATTTTTCGTCACTAATGACACTAAACAACCAGACACAATACTACTCAGTAATCTGAGCGAAAGACAATTAAATAATTCTTCAAATGTGGCAGATTCGTCCAACACATTTTTATCTTTTTGATACTTCAGCTATAGCCGAATATGAATTTTGCGAGTGGATTTTGATGGGCCCGTTTAGTTTGTCCTTAATGTGAGACTTACCATTATATCATTGCACCTGCTTATTACCTATAGTCACCCAACACTAAACTCCCATAAACATCTGCATATAAAGCGTTTTTGTTAACACCAGAACAGCACACTAAAAAATAAGATCTGTATCACAATTTTTTATTGATTTACAGTTTGGTGTGAAATGAGCTCTGTAGCAAAAAAGGTATTAATCAACATAACATCTCAGGTACTATGAGTTTGGGACAGAGCTTAGAGCTAAGATTTTAAACAAAAATAATTAGGCATAACCTGCCAGATATTTCAAAGCTATACTTTTTAGCTCTAATAGCCCTCTCCGTTTTAATTGCCCTCACTGGTTTAGTTATAACTCTCACTTTAAAGGCAGCCTAAATTCCCCCATCCATCTCCCCAGAAAGTCTTTTCACATTCTCCTGTCACAAATCGACCCTCTGTCAGGTCACATTAACTTCCAGAGCCTTGTGAAGGAGAACAGCCGTTCGTGGTGTCCGTGTCACGACAGAGGCACATCAGGACATCTGGTCCGCCACTTGGTGGGACAGCAAACTATTTAATGCCTTAATCCGCCCTAAGCTTTGGCTGGAACCCCCTGGGGACTGCCGCATGCTGCACCAACAACAACCAGTGCCATTCATCAACCTAATGGGCTTTATATTTTTAACCCTTGCCATTTATCAGGCTGAGGCAACGTGATGAGGGAAAGTGGAGGATCAAATTCCCCAACGCCTGCTTAAGCTCAACAGGGAAACCATTGATTCATGGTCTCTCTTCCCTTTCACATCACTCTTTTCCTCTCCTGTCTTTTCCCATCACACCCTGCTGTTGTGCGCCTCCTCTCCTCTCTCTGCCCTCTTCAAGCATCTTTATGTATTCTACCAAGCTACCTCCATTTCTCCCTCACTCCCTGTGGGTCTTTCCTGCACCCCATCCTTCACCACTATTCCCTCTCCTACACCTCCTGTTCTTCATCTGGCTTCTTTCATCATGTTCACCCTCCCTACTCTTCTTTTTCCCATCTTTTTCACAACCACCTTCTTTCCTAACTTACATTTCCTCTTCCATTTTTTAACTGTATTGCAGGACTTTGGGGACGATGGCTCCCTGTACATCACCAAGGTGACAACCATCCACATGGGGAACTACAGTTGCCATGCCTACGGCTATGAAGACCTCTATCAGACTCATGTGCTGCAGGTGAATGGTCAGTAGTGGCTCATTTCTTACTTACAGTGATGTACAAAATGTTTGTGCTACTCTGTGGTTCCCCAGTTAGGGACTTTGTTCTTATTGCCTTCCTGTTTACAGGGAAAACGGTTAAAGAACAGTCTCTTAAGTAATCAAGCCAACAACCATTGATCAAAACAAAGGATACCATGAGAGACATTTAGTGCAGCATTTCAATATGCAAATCCAAACGTGTTCTAATCATATCAAGCCCCTCGCATTGTACTCCATCCATATATAAAAAACTCTTAACAACACTGTAATACTACATAATGGAAATATCAGGATTGTTTTTTGTAATTTTTCAGTAGATATAACTACCAACAGCATGAACTCGGCATTAACCTTTTATCCGCATGTCATGTCAGATGTTGAAACATTAATTATACTATAAGATCATATTCATAAAACACCGTTCAACACATAAGTTACAATGTCGTTAACAGAACACAAAAGTTCAGAACATCAAGCAATCCCAGAAATGTTTTGGCGTCTCTGAGACTTGTCGTAGGCTTTTAATATCAAAGAAGTTGCTTGTCAAAAAAAAATATTTTAGGTACAAATAAACAGTTTCAATAAAGCTGTGTTGTTCATACCTTTATGTTTACAATATATGCTAGATACACATGGCTCACAGCACCTCAACACTTAAAGGGACCAAGGGAAACAACATCATTGCATATGTGAAGCTAAAACCTAGTTATGTGTGCGTGCAGCACATCACTTTGTTGCAGGGGAGAAAAGCCACTTAAAGGGAAAATACATCTGAAACTACACTGCATTTTGGCAGGAGGAACTTATTAAGGAACCAACTCATATAAATTATCTGCAAAAGGGACTACCTTTAGACTTGAGAGTTATTATTATGCATCTCTCCAAGGAACACCCACAGAGGAAGAAGCCCCCTAACTGTAACAAGACAAATCAAAGATACGGCTTCCAATGTATGCGCTTTTGTCTCAGGGTGGCAAAGGAGGAGGAAAATGTATTCAATGAAACGTCTTTTAAGAGAGACAATAGGCGTAATTATTTTGCAGCTGAGTTTTAGACCTTGAACTAAAGAGGGAGAGGGGCTGATGGGAAGGGAGTCATGGAGACAGACTCTGGCCCTGAAGGGCGAGATATCAAGAGAGGGTAATTACCAAATGTTTGTGTAGGGGGGACTCAAGGTATTTCAAGCTCGATAGGACGAGGTGAGATAAGGTGGAATGGAAGGGAGCCAAGAGCCACATTAAACTAAGTGGACCCTTTGCATCGTGTTGTGTTTATAAGGATTACACACATGCTTCTGTTTTTACTGGGATGAGAGCAATGGCAGCGCTGCGGCACCCACAGTCGCAGTTTAAAGGTACTCTTAAAATAACTCCTTCTGTAACATTATAGTACCCTAGAGTCTGGTATCAATGCCGTTGAAGAATGTTTCTTAATGTGAAGTACACACTCAATAATGAATGGAAGAAAGGAAGAGTTTCTGTGAAAAAAGGTTGTAGAAAAACCAAACAAATGATTGATATAAAATGTAGATCACAGATGATAAGAGAGACAGGCTGAGGGTATGGCGGAGGTATAAACACTTGTGACTAAAGGAAAAGGTCAATACAAACTAAATGGAACCAGAATGAACAAATACACCCAAAGTACAAATACCATAACGTAATAATACTACATGTATTACATTTACATTAACTAACAAAAAGGGGAAAAATAAAGTTAAGGAAAAACTGAAATAAGTTTGCAGCAAGCACCAGAAGTGACATTAATATTGCATAAGGGGGAAGGTTGTAGATTGAATGTTAGAGGTGATTGAACTCCTGGAAAGTCAGGGGGGGGGGGGCATCAGGATTTTGGCAGCATCCACCGGCGTTGAAATGTGCCCAGCATCCAAAGCAGAAAAATGAAATCGTACCTGTTCCTATAAACTATTACCTCATATTTCATTTTCCCCCTCGATTCCTCCACATTCATTTGCGCTCTTCTCCCCGGAGGAGGTGGTAAGTGGTAGATATGTCCAACATCTATTTCATGCAGGACTCGAGCTGTAATAAAGCAGCCCCAGAGCTCTTGGGTTCTTGTTATGTGTGAATATATTCCATGCTGTGGTGAGACAAATTCCTCTCTGCCCACTGCGTGTGTGGGTGTTTGTGCTATATTCCCCTAGGAGTTACCATGAAACAGTGTGTAATTAGGTTTTCACTCGCGCCTCTGCTCTCTCCCTGTTTGTGTCTTCGGTTTTGTTTGTGCGTCCAGTCCCTCCAGTGATCCTGGTCTACCCGGAGACGCAGGCCCAGGAGCCCGGCGTATCTGCCAGCCTCCATTGCCACGCCGACGGCATCCCGAATCCCAAGCTCCTCTGGCTGAAGAACGGCATGGACCTGCTGCCCAGATCCTCCACACAGCTCGCTCTCATAGGTGGGGAGTTTTTGATTCTTTTTTTTTTGGAAGAGCTGTCAGCGTTTTAGCAGACTTTTTGTCACATGCAGTGTTTTTCAATTAGTATTACCAACCAACAGAGCTGCAGTATGCCAACACTGCAGAATCCTTTATAAACAAGGGAAAGCATATACATAGAAATAGAAACAAAGCTTGAAAATAAAGCTGGTGTTGAACGTATTATTAACTAATATCTAAAACTCTGCAGTAATGTTTAAATATGCTATGGAATAAGCAAGCTGTACTGTTGATGGCATTTTCAGTTCATGCGCTAAACCCGAAGCAAACTTCCATATGGATGTTATGTTAATGTTAACTTTGTGTGAGAGATTTAAAACCTGTTAAATTGTCTCGATGTACACATTATGCTCCAGATAGACTTTTTTCTATCTCCTAAACTGTTTTAGGACAATGTGTTCTTTAACTTCAATCACCAGTGTTTATGTTTTGTTATATTCTAATAACGCTTATTTAACAGATCCACAACACTTCAGTTCCATTTACATTCTCTACCAAGTTGATGAAACACGGATTGCAGTCTAACTAACTATCTTTATTTTGTCCATATAAAAAAAACCTACTTCATCTTTAGAAATCGAATATAAATGGAGAAATTAAAATAAGCAAATAAGATTAAATATATAGTGTGTGGGAGAGTCGACGGCAGCTCTCTAGACTAGAATGGTGTTTTTTAAGAGACACTCTCGATATAAGAGAGAAGGAGCAAAGTGAAGCACGACTTTTCCTTTTATGTCCTTGTTCTCATTAAGGGAGAGTTTATTGGCTGTGTGTGGGTCATTACCTGTGGTAATAGCCTGTTATCAACCCCTCAGACACTCAAACATGGGAGGGTTGGCAAGGTTCACCAGCACATAAACACTGCAGTGGCAGTCCCCCTCACAGTGATTATTTAGGCTGGTTTTATAAAAATATATAGTTAAAGGTGGGGTAGGTAAGTTTGAGAAACCGGCTCGAGATACACTTGTTGTTATATTCTATGGAATGCTCTTAACATCCCGATAGCAATGAATATGTTAAGTGCTTTGACGAAAAATCCATAAAGAAATGTCATCTGTGGAAGCCGTAGTACTGTAAAAAGCACGACCAATCGTTTTAGCCGGCCCGGCTAAAATAACTGGATGGCCTAACTGCCTGTCAGCCTTCCATCTGTGCACAAACTTATCTCGTGCCCTCATTGGTCATTTGCGCATTTGTGTGTGTTGGAGGAGGGGCTCTGTAAGGAAGTGGCAGCTTTGTGCTGGCTGTGTATTTTCAAATTCTAGCGCACTCGAGCTGGTTTCTCCAAAATTACCTAACCCACCTTTAAGTTAAAAAACTAGAGTGGAAAAGTATATAAATTACCATTGTTTTCCAGCAATGCCTTAGAAAATATATCAAAAGCATATTAGGTATGATTATTTTATTTAATCAGGAGTGTAATAAAAGCAGTGTAAAAGTGTTGCCTTTATCTTTATATGTGGTAGTGTAAAACTACACACTGACAGATGGTAGTGAGGAGTATTGATTGTAAGCCACAGTTGAACAGTGAACAGTAAAGAGAGAAACTGCTTTGTGTTGCTGAATGAATGAAACTGTGTTCTGGAACCGTTTGCGGTGCTGAAACATCAAATTGATCTTTGCCTGATATTCCCTGTTGTTCAGTTTGTATAGCAAACAGCAAACCTCTTAACACAGCTTCAGTTATATCCTGATGTGTGACATTATGGTTATTTTTTTTTTAACCCCAATTCTTTGTGTGAAGAAGGATCAGTACATTATCGTTATCACACAACTCAAATTCCACGTTAATCAAGGTCATCTGAGGGAACAGGCTGCATTTGTGACCACTGAATAAAGACTGTGAGCTAAATGACTGGATTTAGACCGTGGGTATAAAACCTGCAATTTGCTGCCAAATTTCACGCAACATTCTCCTTTCCTACTGCCTGCCTTTGTACTGTTTTGAAAAGACACTGTCGTTGAATCCTGTGTTTTACGCTGCCCAAGACATCTGTATTCAGTCAAAGAATCACAAACAAGCTTAGTGCTTTCCGTCACAGCAGAATAACAATATGTGGGGCCTGGCCTTTCTTCAGAATGAGGCAGCACTTTGGATTTGGAGCTATGAGACTACTGGATTTCTACTTTTCATGAGGTCACAGAGAAAATCATCTTAAGTGTCATGATGACAACTTAGAATACTTTAACTAGGATCTTGCACAGATAATCATTCATTTGAGATACAGTAGAGGGTAACACAAGAGTGGATTTCCACTTGCATCTCAAATTAATGAAAGCAAAATCCTTCCCTGTCCCAATCCCAGAGGAATGAGATCTGTTCCATCCCGTTCCTGTTTCTTTTTCAGATTTATATTTTATAGAGATGAACAAATTGCAATGTTCTACACCGGTTCTAATGTACTGTCTTTCTAGAACTATATTAACCATCATACACATGTACCTGATGGTTAAACCGTTTCAACATACGAATAGTAATGTTATCCATTGTGAATATAAACATATTGATTATAGCCCCATTGAATCATAAATTCCTAATTTGCCCTTACAACAACAAGCTCAAGGGTAGAAGTAAAGAAGACTAAAAGTTCTAACACCAAAAAAAAACAAAAAACACCAATCCTTCTCAAAACCCCTGTCATTGCAAACAGCTACAAGCCTGCAAAATAGGGATAAAGAGACTAATTTAATGAGTGGCTGATTCAGTGGTTTTCAATAAGAATTGATCACAACATAATTATGAATTAGAAGCAATTAAACTGGTGTCTCATTCTATGAAGGCCTGCTTCAAGGCACTTTTTACTTCAAAGCTCTGTTCCCTTGATAAAAGAGAATTATTATCAGAAGCCAAAAGACTTTTCACTTTATGTGAAAAGCTTTGCGTCAACTTTTGTAACATGTTTTACGGCCCACTAGGCATTAATTATAGGGCAGACATCATTTTCAACGTATAAAATAGAACACTTATCTTGAAGGCTGCAGTCTTTTTGGTTGTTTGTTAATTAAATATTGTTCCTGCAGGAAGACACTTGAGTGTGTTTTAACAACATAGAGAGGGAAAAGACCCTTTTATATCCTCAAAGTGGGAATATTGTAGAGGTTTATAGATGCTATAGATACTTAAATAGATGTAAAATAATTGGAAACGGATGCAGCGTTTATGTTCTTACACAAGATCTATCAAAGCAGCGCTGTGACACCCAACATAATTCACTCTCCCAGTGCTGTGAAGTGTGGTGTTTAATGCAGTGCTACATACAGAGTGCAGCTGTACATCACAGAGCTTGATGCTACAGCAAACATCAGAGCTGTCCCTCGACCTCTGTGTCCTCACATCCAACATCACCTGTCACTTCCACCCACCCACCCACCTCACCTGCAACTGCAACTTCAGGCAAACAATGCAGCATTGTACAGAATATGTGGGGAAATAAATAAAGTGTGAAACTAAGCTATTATATTAGAATGCAGGATAATGGCATACAAAATTGTATGCTGATGGAAAGTTACTTGTGTATCAAACATATTTCAGAAAAAGAAGCCTTCTTCAGTTCAATTAATACATATCGATATCAACAAACGTTCTGCTATATATACTTGGCATAAGATTAACAACGTGCTTTTTTTTCTCCCAGGCTATGCTATTGGTATATTTAAGTATTACAAAAAAACAATGGTTTAAAAATGTTTTACTGTATAAACTCTGTTGCCCACAAAGTTGGAATGCTTTTGTTTTCAGACACATTCCTCTTTTTATTCCTATTTACACACACCATCATTTCATGGGAAGAGTTACAACATATTGTATTCCAACTGTATGGGCAACAGTGTACTAAACCCACAAAAAAGTGGAAGATGGTTGTTCTGAAGCCTTTATTTTTTCCAAATGCAAGATATCAAATAATGTAGCAACATGTATCTGCTTCAGTAACAAGTTTCCTTTCATTTTCTTTCCTTTTGTGTTTCTATTTCCGTAGCCAATGGTAGTGAGCTCTTCATTGGCAGCGTCCGGTACGAGGACACTGGAGCCTACACATGCATCGCCAAGAATGAGGTTGGCGTGGACGAGGATATCTCCTCTCTGTTTGTTGAAGACTCGGCCAAGAAGACCCGTAAGTCAAAGAACATTATCTATGTTAAAGTTAAAGCCATAAATAAGTCCTTGCACCCACCCAGAAAGATAGTTTAAACAGTATATTGGCGTAAATCCTCATGGCATGGTTGCTTGTTAGATAATATTGTTAGTAGTAATTAGGTTAAGTTATATAATCCTTTTCATAGTAGTCCTGTGATCATGCTACCAGCTTGATAAACCCAACAGATGTATGGAGTTTTGAACTAAAAATGAACCTCAGGCAGCTTATTTTATCCCATATTTTATATCCAGGGACAAGCGCCCAAATTACATATTTTATGTTACTTTGATATCGGTTCTTTCATTAGATTGCATCATTTTGACGAGTTAACAATGGCCATCGAGAAAGAGCTTATCGGGCCAGTTAAGATTAAACAGAATAATCTCTGACTTCCGTTTGATCTCTTGATTTAAGAGGAAATATGATCCTGTCAACAGCAGTAAGGAACATTTTGTAGCTGTCAAATATGTTTGCTCTTGGCATGACATGAGATCAATCACCCCCTCTCTTTCTTGGATGAACTGTCTCTTTTTTTTCTGAAGGTGATTTAATGTGTTCCCCCTCTTTTCCCTTTCTATTGCTGGGTGGCTGAATCTGCAGTTGCAAACATTCTGTGGAGAGAAGAAGGTAATTCATTAAAGTAAAAGAAAAAAACCTTTTATACTCTTGTGAATAGGAAAATATGGTGGGCATAGTTTGTGGCTCTTCAGGGCCTTCAGCTGAATATCTGCATTTTCCAACACGTTTGCTGTACTGTCCAGAAGAATCACAACACTGTTTTCTCTCCAGCAAAACTTTACTTCCAACCTTGCTTTCTTCCTTTCGTGCCCAGGGTGTTTCTTTTTTTTTTTTCTGGAGTGCTTTCTAATCTATTTTTCAGATCACCTAGGGAGGAAACATTTACACACAAGCAGGGATTTTATGCATTATGCAAAACCACAGACCAAGTGTGGTGGCTACACGAAAACAACTTTGTGGTGTTCAGCAGTATAAAAATCCATGCTGTCCTTATACTATATATTACATCAATACGGCCACAAGAACAGTTTTACTACTGCACTGGAAAACCGCTGCGGTTTAGAATGCAATACAAACACAATCTGTTTTATATACATCATCACCACATCAGGTTTACCACCAAACCAAACGACGTGTAAGCATTTGGATTATTTCTAAACACTTATCAGCACTCAAAGCTGCCTCATTAACAGTGTGTGTGTGTGTTGTACAAGTGCTTGTTTTGTGTCTCTGTATTCATACAGGGTGTGCATATTCAGTGTGCTTCTTTGGTGTACTATGTTTATCTCACAGCGTTATGACAGCCTGACAAATCAATCATTATCACAGTTTTTGTCAATGCCGCAAGTGTGTTTATGTGCTTATGCTTATCATCTGTGCTCATGTGATGTGTTCCTGCCGGCAGTAATAGACTGCTGTCGAATCATCCAAATGCCTCAGCATCAGACTGTGATGCTAACTCACCAGCAGCTGTTTACACCTCGAGATGTGAAATGTTTCCTCTTTGAGGCAATGCCTTTAATTTGATGCTTCTTGCTACAGTATGTGGTTGGCGTGTTGCTGACAGGGCCCTTTGTAGGCTTTGTCAAAATGGCTGGCAGACACACACTGTCCATCCCCGCTAACGCGATAGCACGCTAACAGGAGTCCTCGAGCAGGGAAATTGAAATGCCAGTCACAAATGTCAGATAAGATGGGAGCAGGATATTCTGTTGTTGTAAATGTCTATTTGTTGTTTTTTTCCTCAAGCATGTTTCAACCTTTGTATGTCTTTTGTGTTCTCTTCCAGGGTTGAGCGTGGGAAACATGTTCTATGTGTTTTCTGATGAGGGTATCACTGTTCTTCAGCCCAGTGAATGTGAGATACGCAAACACATGCAGCGGGCAGAGAGGATTGTTGCTACATATGTAAGTGCACGTTATGCCATTATTTTCCTTTCAGGTTTAAATTGTGTTATAGATTCAATAAGATTGATGTATATTACTAATTTGTCATTTCAGGTTACACTAACCCATATTAAAGTTTCAATATTCCTCCATATACAACTTAATAGATTCCATCTATCTATCTATCTATCTATCTATCTATCTATCTATCTATCTATCTATCTATATATCTATCTATCTCTATCTATCTATCTATCTATTTCTGTAGTTATCTAGGAGGGTTTTAGTGTAAAAAGATTGCGACCAAAATGAAGGCTATCCTTCCTTCGATGTCCTCCCTGTTGTCAGAGCGGGGCTGCTCACCTAACTAATGTAATGGGATTACTCGTGTCCATTAGTCGACAGCTTGCACCAATAGACTGTATAGAGTCTATACTACAGACCCTGAGGTTTCTAATCCACTGGATAACATCCCTCTCTCAGAGCAATGGGCTTTAGATGGTACAAGTCGCTTGTTCCTCTGAGGGATTTGGGTTTTACAGGACCCTGTAATTGTATTAGAGATCAATACAAACTCAATAAGTCATGTGTTAGCCAGTTCCTGCTGTAAACAGCACTTTCTCCACTTTGGTGAGGTGGAGAGAAGGTGAAAACTCTTGCATGTGTGTCTGACGTTGTATATGTGTGTGTGGTGAAGAGGAGTGTGTGAATAAATGTATTGTCAGCAAAGACAGCATGCTGCAGAGCCTTTACATCGAGTGTTTCCTTAGTCAGCTATGGTTTATATATTTGGAAAGTTTCACACTTAAAAGTGAAAACACTCATTATGAAATAAATTTGTGTTATCAATAATAATAATATTACATAATATAATATTATTATTGAAATGAAGTATGCATGTCTAGTAGGACTGGGTTATATGGCAGAACTTCATATTAGTTGTTCAGTCCTTTTGTCCTTAATTTAATTGTATAGCATGCTCTGCAGTGTACATTTTATTTTATTGTATGTCAGCTCTTTTTTTCTTGCCTTCACTCCCAGTACCAAAAATGAACTGAACTGTACTTTGTCAAAAATAATTTCTACATTTAATCTTATCAAAAAAGTCTAAAAAGAGAACAGTAATTTGCTAAACATTTGAATTGATGATTTGTAGATGTATTTGTATTGCATATTAACAATTGTTGACCTTTCCAAATTGTACTTTTATTGATAATGAAACAATTCCCAAACCTCCTATCATCCTCTCTGTTGCCTGTTTGGTCACCCCAGGAGGAGATGTGCCCTAAGGGTGAGGGGGTGTCACCTCAGCACTGTGTGTGGTCCTCAGCAGTCAACGTCAGGGATAAGTACATCTACGTGACCCAGCCCCTCCTGAGCCGACTGCTGGTGGTCGATGTTCAGACGCAGAAGGTTGTGCAGGTGGGTGGAGCATCAAAGTCTCAGAAACATCTCAGATATTAAGTATCTGAGAGGCAAAGAAGGGTAGTAAGTTCCATCCATGACTCCCCTTTCCTCCTCCTGTCGAATCACACCAGAGTTTGGGATAGCATTATTGGCTATTTATTGGATTAAAAGTAGTTTATACTCTTGCAACTGCAGCAAAACTCTATATCCAAAACAGCATTATGTTCACACCCAGCTTTGGGCTTTTTTTTCAAGTGAAGCAAACATGCTACCTCTGTGATACCGAGGTTGTATTCACACAGCCATCACACAGGCTTGGATGGCAATAAACACAACATTTCCTTTTTCTACACTGCAATACATGATCATATTGTTTATTTGTTTACATATTTTCATTCTACAGCACATGGCTCATCAACTGTTGAAGATGCCTCATTTTCTTGCCTACAACATACAATTTTAACAGGATACCATAATGGTCACAGATGTTTCATTCGGAACAAACTCAGAGTTAACAAATCAAAGAATAGAAAGCTCATCAGGTCGAGGAAATGCTTTTGTTAATTGTATTTCCATTTAAAGATTTAAGATGACCAAACTGACATATTTTATTTTGAAACCTTTACTCCAGTATCCATCGCTAAATTAAGCCCAAGTCTTGGTTTCTTTAAAAGCTAACAGAATACAAATCCAGTCGATAAACATTACTTGCGAGCGTGTTTGTCTTCCAGTCAAACAGCATCACCAACATTAGGTGCATTCGATTTAACTTGTCTTGCTCCTGAAGTGCCACAGATGTAAGAAGACCACATGCAAGGGGAAATAAATCAAATGCACCTCAAGCGCCCGAAACAATATGGTGCCCAGGTGGGTGCTGGCTGCCTCACCATTCATCTTGCCTGTAACGGCTGTTTAGAGACTGAATCCCTCAGGGGTTCTTCCCAGGGTCAACATCATTTATAGTGAGGTACAGGATGAGAAGGAAGAGGCCTAACTCAATGAGAAGGAGGCGGGAGAGCAGAAGGGAGTTAAGTGAAAGTCTGAGTAGCAGGATGAGAGAGACAGCAAAGTGAGCAGGTAGCAGTGAAAAACGTTCTTCTTCTCCTTCAGTTTAAAGTGAAGATATTTCCAACTCAACTTATTCCATAATGTCACTCAGGCTGTATCACTTGTAATTATTTAACTGTGCAATACTCATATTACTTAGGGATCATAACTGTATAACACTTTACATTTCGAACAATAAACTGGTTTTCATCATTTCTATTCTATTTTATTTTATCTTTATTGCACGTTTTTACTTTCACGTCATATGTTTTTAAATAATTGTATGTTTGTGTTTTTTTATTTAATTTTAATTGTTATATTTTTTATTCTAAAATATTGCAACTGTCATCAATCATTCTCCCTGGGAGAAAATAAGGTATTCTGATGCTATATATGACTAATTGACTTTGAAAAGAAAAGAAAGATTGACTAAATACTGAGAGATGTGACCTCCACTTGTTCCAAATGAAACCAAATCCACCAAAAAAAGGAATATGTGATAGAATACTACGTGTATTTACCTTTTGGTGATTAAATATTATCACAAGAACAATAAAAGAAGTCATATATTGACAAGAAAATAAGAGATGTGTTCTGGTTTATTGTGGTGCAGAAGCTGCCCACTATAACTGAGAACCCCCCCCCCTTTTCTCTTTCTCTTTCCAACACTGTAGAAACTGATTTTCTCTCCTTGATCAGCCGACCCTCTCTCTCTCTCTCTCTTTCTTGAAGACCCTCTCTGACCTATGGGTGCAGGAGGTTAATGCATCCAGCCTTTTTTCGTCTCTGCTCTTTCTTTGTTATTTCAAAGCCTTTTTTTTCCAAAGCACATTTCCAACTTTCCTTTCAGCAATGGCCTTTTATTATAAGAGAGAAGATGGCAGAGTACAATAAAAGCACTTAATCCACTGACAGAAGGAATGCATTAACGAAACAATTGCTTTCATTTTTTTAAATGGTAAAGTCAGAGCACTGCATTTATTATCCTCAAGGAGACGACTGAACGCAGTGATTAGGAACCGTATGAGTACATGTCCAAACACTAGATTGCCACATTAATAAAAGACTGTGGGCAACACTTTCCTTTATAAGTATGAGATTAAAGCAAAACAATTCTTTCTTCAAAGTAAACCCAAATGAATCGCTCTATACTCATAACCTGGACTGTTACAGATAAGATGGCCTATTCTCTGTTTGGGGGGAAATGGCGGACTAAAACACAACAATTCTCTTTTCTCTTTCACGAGAAAACCAGAAATATAGATCCTAGAGAAGCACAGATGCCGTTATTGTTGGGTCTTTTATTAACATCCTTTTAATAGAAAGTTTCCTTTAATACAGGGGTGTCAAACTCAAATACACAGTGGGCCAAAATAAAAAAATGGGTACTTGTCGAGGGCCGGACTGGTTCAATGTTTATTGCAAACTTTTTGAAATGAAATTTTTGCACA